TATAATTTAAGCATTTTTTAGAATATGTATCAGAAAAATTTTGCACGTTGAAACTTTTCAAGACTGTTAGCTAGTTAAGTTTATTATTAAGTTTCTTTTCAAAATAGGCAGCCATGCATATTTACCAAAATGAAAATATCACGTGCTTCTTTTCAAATAAAAAATACCAGCACATCACGTATCATATCATATATATACGCTATGTATATGTATGTAGTGCTTTCTTTTTCCCCCTTCCTCCTCTTTATTCATATATATACATACATACAGTGCTTTCTTTTCCTTTTTGTACAATTGAAGAATATATAATAAGCACCTTTTGGCTGAAATATAAAATAAGCACTTTACGAGTCTCATCTTTTTACACCCATTCATTTATTTTCTATTCGATTCAAAGAAGAAACGCGGACATTATATACATATATATATTATGCATACTAATGGAGGTCAAATATCAGATCCCGCTCCACTAGCACTACCAGAATTATACCTATAAATACCCTCCTTTGCTCTTCTCCATCTCCACAGTTCTTCAACAAAGAAATTGAAACACTCAACCCTCTCTCTCTCTCTCTCTCTCTCTCTCTCTCTCTATATATATATATATATATATATATCACCCTCATCTTTATTTTCTTTTCTATCTCCATGAGGTCGATAAGCGTATTCTTGATCATCTTAGCTTTATTAATGATGCTTTTAGCAGTAGCAACACAGAACACGGAAGAAGCCGATAGCGAGGAGTACGAAGGAGTACTAGAAAATGAAGATGTTGACCACCAAGACAGACGATTTCTCTTGCAAAGGGGATTACAAACTCGAAGAATGAGATGCAACAAGTTTCCTACCATTTGTCAAGCCAAAGGTAGTCCCGGACCTCATTGTTGCAAGAAGAAATGTGTTAGTGTATTGACAGATCGTTTGAATTGCGGGAGATGTGGCAAAAAATGTAAGTACAATGAGATTTGCTGCGAGGGAAAATGCGTGAATCCATCATTTAATAACAAGCATTGTGGCGGCTGCAATAAAGGCTGCAATGGTGGAGAGCTTTGTGTTCTTGGCCTCTGCAATTATGCATAGAATGAGAGTACATACATAATATTATTTATTCTTTGATTTTTCAAATAAATTTTTGTTCTTTAATAAGTTCAATTGTAACTGAGATATATTTTTAATGTATAAAGTGATTTATTTCATGTCATTATAAATAACTTCTTGAAATAAATTGATTTTTAGAGTATTTCTGCATAAAAAACAAAAAAAAATTAGTTGCACTTGTTATTTAGTTATTAGAAATTAAAATATTATTTAACAAATATTTAGCTAATACAGAATAAATATGCCTTTAAAAAAACTCATATAGTACAGTCCAGTCTTTTTATGTAGAATTATTAGAAATAAAGTTTAATTAAGATAAAAAAACTGATATAAGTCAACTTCACTTATATACTTAATTTCATAATCATGAACTTGCGAAGATAATAACAAGTATATTTCTATAGAAGAGTAAAAAGAAGATAGAATTTAAATTTGCGCCCTCAAATCTTTTATAAGAGTGTTATGTTATTTGAATTAAATATTTATTATAATTACAAAATCATTTTACTTGAATTAATTTGAAATTACAATGTTATTTTTATTTATATTTTATATTATTTATATTATATTTGTAACGATTTCGGAATGTCCTAAGAAATAAATTATAATTTAAATGCGAAAGCGAAATAAATAGTTAAAGTTTACATTCCTTACAGATAAACTTAAAGTCTCAAATAGTGTTACGAGAACTAACTTTTTGAAAGAAATACAAAAAAACAAAAAAAATAAACAGAAAATGAATAAAAATGCTATTATACTCGCAACTCTCTTGTGGATCCTAGTCCTTTTGATATGAAATGGTTAAATAAGGACTGAGATACACTAGTCTAATAAGAATATCACACTATTCACCGACACAGAAATAAAGATTGGTAGAAAATCAAAACAACTAATGGAACACTTAATTAAGTAAATATATTTCTTAATAATAAAAGCATTTACCATCCACTTACCGCAGCGGGATTTATAAAAGCAACCTATAGAGACAATAACATAACACTATCATGATTCCATATGCAATTGGTAACATGCACACATTATAAATTCATATTCAATAAATCAAACAACAATCTTTTCTTTTATCGGCTTACTGGTATCCATTGGGGTTCATAGAAATGTTCCCGCTATGCGTGAACCATTTCCTTCAACATTCTCAATTAAAGAACCGTCCTCATACCCCGTCCGGTACAAGCGTCAAACCACTAAACCTCAATATCTCGTCTTGTATAAGGGTGAAACGGACCGTCCCCATACCCCGTACAGTATGGCACCAAATTATCAAGTCTCGATACCCCGTCCAGTATGAGACAACATTCACGGTAGGGTTCCCTATTGTACCTGATCCATCCATCGTCTCCTAGGATATCTAATAAGGCTGTCGTTTCATCCATTCACTTAATCACACAATTTTTTCACTTTCCTTTAGTCTACATTTTTCAAATCAACCGTAATCACATAAACAAACAAACATGCATCAGGGAATGCAATCATATCTCGGTTTTCTAACTTAACAGTAGTCACGTAAGGCAGCAATACATGCATTCAAACCATAAAATCGATAAATCAGATACTATCATGCATTTGAACTATAAAATAAATTAATAGAAATCAACATAAAATAATTTTTTTATTCTGCCTCCATTAGTAACCCGTAATTAATTATATATATATATATTTTAAATTTCATGAAATACCATATTATTTAAAATTAAACTTCAATTCCATAACAGAGGATAGAGTGATGGATTCTTACTCAATTACATGCCCGAAAGGCTAAACTGTCGATTGCGCCAACTGGCGGTCCCTGGGTTCCCTGAATTTTTCTTCAAAAATCAAAACGCATTATAAGTACCTACAAATGTCCCAAAAAATCCTAAAATCAGCCTCAGGGTCCAATTTTGGCCAATTCCGACACAGTGGGTCCGCCTTGGGTTGGCTATTTTTAGCCGAATTCGATCGATTTTGCATTGATCCCTACGAGAAAATACGTTAAGAGGCATCGGTTGGCCGAAAAAATACAAAAAACTGAAACTCATCGGCGGTGGGGCTCTCTGATGCGGCGACTCCTCCAGCTCACATTGCGGTTGGATGTTTTGCTCTAGTCAACCTATAAAGAAGTAAACGGTGATCACAACGGTAGAAAAATTACACCGAACAGGAATCGAGAAGGGCCTTATCGGAGGCATTTTGTAAAATTTCCCACGGTGACGCTGCCGGACTTTGCCCGCAGTTTTCAGTCAATCAGCCGGTCTTTTTGTTCTAATTTGACCATAGGAGTGTTTAAAATTGAATTCTCAGCAAAGGGATAAATTTTTACCTTTTTTGGCGGTCGAAAGTAACCCTGGCGCGGCGGCTGGTGGTGGCGGCTCTCCTTCTCGGTAGCTAGGTCTTCTTCTCCGGCGAGTGTGGCTGGCGGCTAGGGTTAGGGTTTGGTGTGAATGATGTTATTTATATTTGTCTCAATTTAATCTAAATCGTCAATCGCCTTTGATATAGACTGTTTGATCACGATTAAATAGGGAGTGAATCTAGACCATTCATCGCGATCTAATCTGTATCGTCTATCGTGATCTAATATGGACAGTCTGATCGCGTTTAAATATAGCTGTCTGATTGCGTTTGGGGAGTGAACACGTCCAGGCCGTCCGTACGCGCGGGAACGAATCTGGGCCATTCGATCGCGAGCACACGGATCGCCCGCATGGCCTCCTGCGTGGCACCACGTCACCGTCTGTTACCATGCGGCGTATCCTGATTCGTCGGGGCTGTTGACCGGGCATCATACGTGGTAAAAATTTTCTAAATTATATTTTAACCACAGATTTTTTATTTTTTTTTCAAAAATACCCTCAGAACCCAAATTTTCACTCTTTTTTTTCAAAATTATTCTCAATTTCATCCTCCATCATATTTTTTTTCATTTTTACACTAAATTAAAATTAAAAAATTATATTTATAATTAATTTAATTTTATAATTAAATTAATTTGGGCATTACACTATTGGTATTTTAAAGAATTATAATTCACATCAAACTCAATGTTAAAATTTTTTATAATCATTCATAATTTAGTGGTTATGGTGATTGAATCCTAAATAATATGATTAAGAAAATGATATCCTAAATAATTCTAAGTTTATATAATTGGAACAATGTACTTTTATTTTACCAATTTTAATAAGTTCTCAAATTTATTATTGGAGTATCACTTAAAATTATTTAGGAGACTTTTTTATTATTTTTATGAAAAAAATTTGTATTCACTCAAAATTAAAATAATTTATGTGAATTTTACAAATGAAATCCAATTATTCAAAACATAGCTAAACTATATATGTCAAGAATAAACAAGAATTAAGGTTGAATTATTTTACAATTAAAGTGATACACAGTCGATCATATTGAATAAGTTTCGTAATCATAAACTGGATATATATATATATAGTTACTTCAAACTAATTAAATAATTAATCAACCACTATTTAATTAAGTTGTGGGTTTAAATTGGATATTATTTTTATGCATATTTTTATTTAAAAATAATTATATTATATTACTAATAATATGTATGTATGTCATTTTAGTAATAATAAATGTACATCTGTATGATAATCAAGCATCTTGGTCAATAAAATTTCACTCTTCCATTTTTTTTAAAAAAATATTTCACAATAGACACTTTTATAACAATCTAAATTAATTAATAATTAAATCAATAAGTGAGCTTATGAATCACATTTTTTACTTAGGTAAAATACTACTTATTTTTCTATTTGAATGTTGATGAAGGAA